TTTCAATGCATTCACTGAAGTAGTCAATGAAATATCTATCCCAAATTCGTTCACAGGGCTCAATAAGGAGCAGGAAGGGGCCTCTGATGGTCGAACTGACACCTAAAACTATTTGCAAGTATTTAGCATGCGATTCAAGAAAAAGCAAAACTACAAACTGTCGAGGATCCGAACATTTGTCCCACTGTTATGAATCGATATAGAAGTCGGCGGTCCTAGTTCTTCCCCTGCTGCCGTTCCACATGTCAATGAAGTGGCCTTCTCCGAATTAAGTGACCTAAGACATACAGACTGACAAACCGACTTGAACTCAGTGCACTGTAGAGTGGAACGGATCGTGAGAGTACATTCTACCTGAAGAAGATTGCTTTCATTCCTTGTGTCCCTTTTCAAAAAGCTGTCACGATAAAATCAGTATGCCTGATGTTAGGGCAGGAGGCGGGGCTGAAGGACGAGATAATTCAAAATTGAGCTCAGACAAAATGATTGCTACCTGCACTTGTAAGAATTACTACTGGCAGAACTCGTCAGAGCGGCAACTGCTACAGGTACCTCAAAAGTACGACGGTTGTAGCATCCTCGTCACTCACTGTGAAATCGCGAATTTAGGTAGCCTCTAAGAATGCGGAGCGCACTTCTTGAGGAAGAGAGGATTTCTGCGTATTCTTTGTGCATGAGATCTGTTTTCAAAGTGCACTAGAGTAAGCGGCACAGGAAAGTGAACGCGGCGATGCTGAGAACTACAACGGAAACAAGCAATTCAGAAAGCTCACCTGTATGATTCCAAGACCTTCGAAATCATACAACTGCTATCAGAGCTCACTCCTTAATGAAGCTCTCAGTCTGTAAATTTAACACTAAGAACGGTCGCCAGTCGAAATGGCCATTCGTAATGTAGACCTAGTCACGGCTAGCTTTAGCCGCTGATTTCAAATCTGCCTTCGAAATTTGCAGAACGGTTCTTAAAGACAGTCCCCGCGCTCAAGTAGTACATGGTCGTCCTTCCTTGTGCAGGTAGTTCAGCCCCCAAGCTAGATACTGTCCCACTCTCGCGACTCCACAGTGAGCGAGGAGCGAGCTACAGCCGCTCAAAGTTCTAGTTCTAACGCCCGCCCAGTTGGACCGCCCACTTGCTAGATGTTCTCTGACAGAGAGCCGCTCAGTTGTTCTTTGCTGGGACGGCGGGCATTAATCGGAACTGCATGTACTTTTTGCTGACCGCGCTCGTGCCCATAAATAATTCTGCTCTCCTTTATCACATTTTATTCATTGGGAGCACATACAGTCAACTGCAACCCATCTCGCAAGGTAAAACGCTCAAAAATCACCTTAACATGCACCAAAAGCTGCACACTGCACGTAACCCCGAATTCGAACGGCAGTTTTAGGATTTTTCTTTGCTATGTGTTTTTCGTTCGTGTCTTTGTTGTTTTTCGTATTCTTTTCTTTGCATTGGATGTTGTCCACTACTGGAAATGTGATAAAGCGATTTGGAGCCAGGGGTTGCCCAGGGCGGTATAACTGTAAGGGAGCAACTTGTTTCTGGTGTTCTTGAGGCTCTTGTTGCTTTTTTCCTTCATTGAGGAATTACTTATCAGCTACTGTTTCATAATTGATCAGCAATTATCCTTGACACTTTATCGCGGGAGCTGTCTTTAAAGGCACATTCCGCGATAAAATAAGGCTATGACCTCTCAAATGTGTCGGACGATCCGGAAGGCGATTTTTGAGGCTGCGCTACTTTCAAAATGTGAAAAACGGCAAGAACTCCGCTAGAAGCTGACTAATTAGGCCCATGGACACCCCTTAGGCCCATGCCGACCCTCACCGGCTGCTAGCTACTAGCTAGTAGCCACTATGTTATCTTTCTCTATAACATTTCGGACTGCTTTTTCTGCTGCTTTTCTCCGCTAATCAGATACTTAGCACTTTTTTGTGCCTATTTGAGTTCCGTTTCCCGCAATTTGCGGTCGCGAACTGTGCCTTTAACCAGAATTATGGAGCTTTTTCCTACACGTTTACCACGCAACAGGTCATGGGGTCGGATCCCTGCTGAGCTTAACTTTTTTGCTTCTTGCGCAAACGTGGCAAAAAGTGGTTTCGGCGTCACTAGTGCTCACGTAAGCTGAAGAAAAGTTTGCCTGCAGTTATTGCAGCGCTTGGGCGCCTAGTGATCTAGAAGAAGACATGGGTGCACAGATACCCGTCGTGCGCGATGCAGGCGTTTTCGCGCTAAGCGAGCATAATGCTCGTGTTCAGCGGATCAAACTATCTCTGGGGCACAAGTTTAGCCAAATCTGGCACTTTGACCTGACTTTGAAAAGTGAAGCATCCATGGGGTGCAGTTCAATTCATGTCCACACCTATTCAGCTACAGATACATTCTCCTGTGCAAAGCGTCATCTTGCCATTTCGACGCTCTTATTCTGTTACTGCTCCAGTTCTCCTGATATTGAAAGCAATTCCCGCCTGAAGGTAAGCAATCGGTGAGAAACTGCCTCTAGAATGGTGATCACCACTCGATCAGTTGCTACCGCACTTAAAGTAACGCCAAAACCTTACATATGGCTAGAAACCTGTCCCAGGGGTAGTTTTGCTCCCTGAACACGAATATGGCACCCGTTTGGCGCTGAGTGTTTTCTAGACTTAAAAGAGAGAACCCTTGCGTAATGCAAAAATTTGGCCTCCTCGAAACCCGAACCACCTCCATGCACGCCTGCAAGACCATTACCAGTACATCATGCTGCCGCTGATTGGGTTTGCGCTTAACGTTTATTAATGCGAACTGGCTGGCAAACACCCTCGACTCCGTGTCCCATCATTCGAATAAACCTTCATTATTGCGTTTGGAGAATGATGAAGGCAGTGTTGAAGGCAGATGCAATGTTGAAGGCAGATTTGAAGTCAAAAACACGTCCCGCGATATACATCTCGTTACAAATAGCCACTTCGACCTGGCGACCATCCCTGGTGAGAAGCGACTTCAACTGAACTCTGGTAAACTTACCTGTCGCTGTAGCTCCAATAAAGCCGGTTTGATTTTTTCCATGGAATCAACTTGTTTCAAAACGCAATCAATCTGAATTTTTCTGACAATATTAATACCAGAGTGATGAAGAAAGTCTCAAAATCAGACAGCTTCCGAGAAGCTTCTGAAGTTGTGTAGTTTGTGGAAAGCTATTTAGTTATAGTTTTTCAATTGAACGGTATTTTTATACACTTCAGAAAGATATTCATCCACATCGTCATCAGTTTGGTTATGTACAACAAGCAAATCGTCCATATATCTATATGGAATAAACAGCTTACTGTTATTAAACTTTTTGGATTTCGCATAGCAATACTCCATGACAGAAAGCGTAACACCTGCCAATAGTGGACCAAAATTGGGGACACCTTTGGTCTGCTTAAACTTATTATTTGCAAAAAGACAGAAGCTATTACGTAAAAGATTAGATATACTAAATCGCTAGGATTTGTAGTATCTGTAGTTGCTCTTAATTTCTTTACCATCTGTATAGAAAACATGGTAACCATTAGTGGCAATCAAGGATCTGTTGGCATTCTTGAAGCAAATGTAAGAAGTTCTTGCATTTTCTTAGTAATGAGATCATGTTCTAAATTCGTGAATTCGTGAAGTAGGAAAGGACTTTGTGCGCACCAACTCGGAAGCACGGGTGCCCGGCGGCCTGCTGCGTCATCGCTACGTCATCTTCGCTATAAAATTGTGAGACTCCGGTCATCAATGGAAACCAAATGGTATACCAAACTCAAGAAGGTAAAAAACCTTTAGGTGGGAGTTTTCTGTAGTTGTAATCGATGGTGCTAATTACGATTCTAACACTTAGTTGGCGAGGAAGTAATGTGAAGCCAGGGCACAGCTGGACTTCCTCCAGTTGAGGGTAAATAACGCGATCAGTGGGAGACAGATGCGGCCCAAAATTGACGGTAAATGGCAGCCGATGTAGCTAGAAGTAAGGGCCAGACTCGTGATTCGGAAGCCGATCGCCTTATTACGTTTGAAGTGGAACTTTAACATTCGAATATTACAGACTTATAGGGTCTCATCATTCGGGATGGGCCCGTACATGGTGTTTATACTAGAAATGCAACGAAACCAGAAAAATGCAATATTTTGTCGACTACGGGGGATTCCACCGCTATCCCCATTGCCACTGTGCAAACGAGAATTGGTGATGAGCAGCTTCGATTCTGAGGGAACCAGCGCACATACATAAGCACGTGACACAAGTAATACCCCACTTCCGACTACTTCACAACTCGATTTCAATAGTCCTTCACAAGAGCTCTCCACTCAGCAATCACTCAAAATGCAAATGATTTACAATGCAAAGAGGCTGCAAACTGTTCATGTGTGGGACTTGAGAGCGCTAGTGCAGGGACCCCTCTCAAGCGCTGCTTAGGTTTGTGTTTTTCAGGGAAACTTTCCTGAGGTACTTGAGCTCTGCTTAGGTTTGTGTTGTACAGGGAAACTTTCCTGAGGAGATGCATCATCTTCCTCCTAAAATCTGATATACGTATCAAAACGATTGCGAACGGCGAAGAAAGTCGGGTGTAAGGTCCCCACCCCCGAAGCAATATCAATACCTGCATCTCTCTCACATGCCAACTACAAACAATTAACAACTAGCCATGGAAGATTGCGGCGTCGCTTGTCCTCTGAAGCGGCGACCCAGGTGAACGCCACCATTGAATCGCCATGCGTCTCCATCTGAGGGTTCCCCGGAGCGGCGGCAATACTGGCTTGGCAATACTGAGTGTTAAAGCTTTGTACCCGTAAGAAGAAAGATGGGGCAGAGGTGACTACTGGTAAGCGACGGAGCTCGTCAACCGTTCCGTCGTAGTGGAGAACTAGTGAGGCAGCTGCTTCCCAATCGCGGAATGCCTCTTGTTGCTTACAGGTACGGATGGTATATCAACGAAAGGTCAGTAACATAACACTATCACACGCTCCTGAATTCACTGCCATGCACTTTTGACTACTGGGAGCTGCTCATTTCTACTGCTGCATAATTGCCCACCATTTCCCAGAAAAAATGAAAAAATACGAAGGTTATCAAGTGTTTTACCCGTTCGGAATCGCTGAGACTTGACTCGTTGCATGCTGTCGCATTAATCTCATATTCTGTAAAGTGACTGATATATATGTATAGAGGAAAAACAACCGACAGACCTATTTTAGGAAGGGAACGAGCGAAAAACTAACGAAGTAGATCATCAAAGACATTTGCCGCAAGCGTAAGGTTATTGACTGCCGTTCGTGAGTTCTCCAGGGTTTCCTCGAATGAGGTCTTGGAAAATGCATCCAGAAGCTCGAGCAATTCGTACTGTCTAAAAGGCGAACGCTTAACATTCCATATCGACTATCGACATTATATTAATAGTAACACAAACACACCTAGATTGGTTGTAAACTAGAAACCCATTCACATTTTGCTGGTTGTCTTCTGAAGGACAGAAAGACGCCAATAAACTGAAGAGACCAGCGGAGGGAAGCCCACGGAGAACTCCTTGCTCTTTAATATGACAGTTTGTGGGAATGCCATTGAATTCGATTAGAGGGCAAGACTTTCTTCATGTCAAGCATGCCAAAATCGCTATGATACAGAAGAGATAGTAATTCATAACATTTTGAAAATTTCGCCATCAAACATCATAGGAAATAGCTCGCAAATTGAGAATAGCTCACAAAAACTTTTAGGAGTAACAAGCCTTCCTCCTGGAAAACTTTCTCTTATGCAAAAGGTCACAATCAGAGAATGTTGAGATCGTCAGGAGTGTAAAAACTCATATGTAGCTCTCCGAATCCTCATCAGAAATATTTCGTCTCTAGGCACTCTAGGCGACTCTAGGCACTTCTACTCCTTTCAACACCTTGCCTCTTTGCTCACCAGGGAAGGTCACCAGGGAAGGTCAACAGGTCGCCATGGCCATTCAAGATGAGATGCATATCGACGTGTACGTCTCGGGACGCTGAACTCAAATCTGCTTCCAAAATTTGCCGAACGATTCTCTATGAGGAGTTAGGGGGGGGGTGGTGGTTCTAGCATAGCACTCGCCGATCCTCCTTTGCGTAGCTCAAGTTAAGTTCGAGTACAGACAGTCTCAAGTGGTCGATGGTGTGGATAGGTAAGTTGCTTCATATATGGAAGGCGATGGGTTCGATTCCTTAGCAGGTCCGGATTTTTGCATTTTTTCGGAACATCTTCTGCGAGTTCAGAAAACTTCTATCCGTTATTTTGTCAAGCTTGCTCTTACTTGCAGCAGGAAAAGACTTAAGTGCCGGCAATTGTGCTTCGCTTTCAAGACTTTTAGGCAGTGTTTACCCTTTACTGCCCAAATCACCCGAAATCAGGCCAGTTTTTGACCGACTTTTTCTTCGTAAGCAGAATTGGCTGAAAAGTTGCCTACTAGGGTAGTCTGCCCTTCTGAACATGATTATCACATCCGCTCGGCACGAAACCTCCTAGCACCCGTGCCACAGGCGCCAGCGCCAAAATACCCTAGATCACCAAGTTCGCTGAAAACTTGTCAACTGGGGTAGTTTGACCTCCTGGACACAAATATCCCATTAGCTGAGCCCGGAAATGCCTGGCGCCGGCGCCAAAATACTCGAAATCACCAAAATCACTAAACTTTTCAACTGGAGCAGTTTGACCTCCTAAACACGAACATCACATCTGTGTGGGGCGTTGAGAATGTTTGGATAGAGAAAAGGGGTAATGTGATTGCGCAACCTGCGTCTGCACCCCTCCCCTGAGATGAGGCCCTTTCTCTGCTAAGGCTGAGCCTCAGCAAAGGGAAGGATTTCTATGACAGGCAACCAGGAAGAGTGGTGCGTTACTTCGGCCAGTTTGCCCAACTGCCCTAGCACAGAGCCTCGCATGAAAGCGACTGGCGTCTGTGCTATGGAGTGGAACAAGCATGTGATGGGTCGCTTGTGGCGTATGCGTCAGGCGGTTTCAGACTGTACGGATGTGATATTCGTGTCTAGGGGGTCAAACTACCCCAGTTGACAAGTTTTCAGCGAACTTGGTGATCTAGGGTATTTTGGCGCTGGCGCCTGTGGCACGGGTGCTAGGAGGTTTCGTGCCGAGCGGATGTGATAATCATGTTCAGAAGGGCAGACTACCTTAGTAGGCAGCAATTCTGCTACGAAGAAAACGTCTGGTCAAAAACTGGCCTGATTTCGGGTGATTTGGGCAGTAAAGGGTAAACACTGCCTAAAAGTCTTGAAAGCGAAGCACAATTGCCGGCACTTAAGTCTTTTCCTGCTGCAAGTAAGAGCAAGCTTGACAAAATAACGGATAGAAGTATTTTCTGAACTCGCAGAAGATGTTCCGAAAAAATGCAAAAATCCGAACCTGTCAAGGAACTGAACCCATGACCTCTCATCTATGAAGCAAATTACCTACAACATCAGCGACCACATAGGACTGTCTGTACTCGAACTTAACTTGAGCTAGGGAGGATCGGCGAGTATGCTACAACCACCGCCCTAACTCCTCATAGAGAATCGTTCGGCAAATTTTGGAAGCAGGTTTGAGTTCAGCGCCCCGAAACACGTCGATATGTACAGTCCTCATCATTGCGGACCGGTGGGGCGTGTCAGTGCGGCTGCGTTTGGCGCGGTGCCAAAGTCGTTCTGCACCAGTTGTTGAAGCGGGCAAGTGACATTACTGTATTATATCCTTCGTATTACTCGTTTTCTACCACTTTTTGTCGCATACGCGTTTCAACAAAAAGGCTGAGAACGGCTTCAACAGTGTGCACACTCATACTGGCTGACACGCCCCACCGGTCCGCAATGATGAGGACTGTATCTCATCTTGAATGGCCATGACGACCTGTTCACCTTCTCTGGTCAGATGGAGGAAAACTCCTCAGAAAGTGTGGTTCTTCGAAAAATAGATAGTTTTGCAATTCTTTACGAGTTTAAAGAATAAGCGGCGGTATTACGCTGAGTTGGGAAGAACTTTCGTGAAATTATGCGGAAAGATACGAAGTGTTTGACACGCTGCGCAATGACATCGGTTTCATTTGAGCGACCACTTATCTCCTGCCAAAACAACAACAAATCCCTCTTGTTGCTTCTATAGGTTTTCCTACAGCTTTCTCCACATCCTTGAGCATTTTGTTTCTGAAGCTGAATAAGCTAGCTATCCAGGGTCAAGCATTTGTAGAGAGCTCTCAACGGGGGGGGGGTCGTATTTTTCATTTCAGCTTCTTGTAGAAGGAGTCGTTCCCGGAAGAATCAGCTGTCAACAGAACTGTGACAAGTTACCCTCGTCATCCGGGCAGTTGATTAGGGCGGTCGTCAACGGGCCGCAGCGCGTGCCAGGAACTATTTGCTTTTTCCAGGCTAATTTAGTCATTTTTTCCACCTTGTGAAGATAAGGAGCTGCTAATCTGGGAAAAAGTAGCCAAAACAGTGAAAAGTTGGAAAAAATGACTAAATTAGCCTGGAAAAAGCAAATAGTTCCTGGCACGCGCTGCGGCCCGTTGACGACCGCCCTAATCAACTGCCCGGATGACGAGGGTAGGTGCGGGATGAGGGTTGAAAGTGGAACTGTAGCGGTCTCTCTGAGAAAACGTGTCCCATCGCGAGCACTTTTCAAATGCTTCTGACTACAGAGAATTTGTTAGCAGACTCAGCAAGCTTTTTCATTCACCAGTATAATTCCGAGTGCTACCAGGAATGTGAGTGGAGATGGTGTGCGTGGCGGACCTAGTGGCTGAGTCTATTGCTCCCACTGTCCATCAGCTGATATTAATTACAGGTAGTAGACGTGTTTCGTCGGTATTCAGTGGGTTCTAGAGCAAAAAAAATGAAAAAAATGTGGGAAATGAAATAGAAATACTCACTCTCATAGCTTCAGAAACTCTACTCGTTTAACTTGCAGTAGATCTCCTATTAGGCAAGTGACCTCGTTAGTTGTAGTAGAACTTTTTTACACGTTGAGAAGCGCTAATTCAGCAATTCCCAATATCCTTTGAACTTCCTCCAGATATTATGTGTTAAGAAGTTACGGCCCCCTGAAAGGTGGCAACTGGCGCAAAGCAGGTCCTCGTCACCGGGAAAATCCTATAGGAACGAATCTCTTTGAATTTTTTCAATAATGGGATTTTCAGTATGGTTTTGATGTCCCTAGAAAGAAGAAACTTTTCTCTTTGGATTTTGATCTTGTGTTGGGTCCTGCATTGTACTGCACCGAGTTATGGTCCCGGAAAGACTGAAAACTCGCGCTCCTGGGAAATTTTCATGACAAGTCGGAAAAATTTTTAACTGCGAAATTTTTTGGAGAATGTGCTTTATGTCGTTAGAGAGTGGAAATATTTTCTTCCATGCATCGGCTTTTGTTTTGTCCTGGGCTTTCAATTACCGAGCTTATGATCCCAGGAAACCTAAAACTCGCGCTCTCCAAAAATTTCCATCATTATTTCTAAGGTGAAGCCGTAGGACCTCCTCCGGGACCTCAAAACCATTCAGGTGAGATGTGCGACCCTTTGAGAGATCTCAAACCCTTTTTACAGCTTCGCAAAATATTGCTTCTGAAGAAAGTTGCAATATTTTGGAAAATCTTCATAGTACAGTGGTTGTAGTGTGGGGTGAAATAGGCCGCTCAGCGCTCAAAGCGACGCAGTGTGAAAGAAACCGCGTTAGAAATGGCGTCCTGAGTAGCCAAGTTTTGCCAGTAGCCGCTTAGTAGGGGAGGGGGGGGGGTCCCATGGAAACTTTTTACGGAGTGTCGTATCAGCGGACCAATTTTCCTCAACCTGAGGTTCTGACTCAACTTCGAAAAAAATGCAGTTATGTTCATGGCTGACTGGTAGCCAACAGCGATATTACGACTAGCATACTGGTGATGACTGGTCTTCGGGCTGAAAATACTCTTCAGTCATGCTTTTTTGCACAGAGCAATACCTGGCCGCACCATTACCTGAATCAGTGGAAATTCCATGCCTAGACCAGTCATCAATGATAGGTGAGCTCCAGTCTGCTTGCTAACCACCCAGAGAATAAACCACCTTTCCAAGTCAGGTCGAAATATCAGATTTGGCTAGAAACTTCCTCCCAAAGGTAAACTGACACCTTGAATATGATTATCATATTATTTCATTGTGAAAAAAAAACCCTCGTGACATGTGTGAGGGAGGCAAGCACAACCACCAATGCCGGCACAAAGGGTCTACTCTTTCGAAAAAAAGCGCAGACTCCCTTACGGGCTATTGCAGGAGAGCAGAGATGTCAGAAGCTTTGTCGGTCATTTCTTTGCAGAATTGGGTAACCTCACAGGAACTGGTTCCACGACCTCTCTCCTGGGAAACCGCTTTGCGCTGTGCTACCACATTTCAGAAAGGCTCTTCGCATATATGTCAGAACGCTTCCAAGTTTCCTAGCGAAAGCATGTAAAACAATAACGCGGGGAACCCCCCCCACCGTAACCCCTTTCAGAGAATCGTTCGAAGCAACTTTGAACGTAAATTGAGTTCATCGCTTCAAGACGATGTGCACCTCATTGAAAGAGGCCGGCTGACCTGTTGACCTTTTCCTGGTGTGATTCAGATGTCCTTTTCGAAAGATGTTTAATAACCGGTAGTGTTAGCAGTTACAGATGCAAGCTGTCAAAAAAGCAAACGAAATCTTTGTTGGTCC